TTGAGATTACATATGTGAGACACTTGTTGTTTGTTGTGTTATCTGGGATGGAACTCCTATCAATAGGGTTGCAATGTAAGGGCTCTGATCTGCTGGCATATGTGTGTGTGTGTATGCGTCTCTGTGTGTGTTCTAGCTTTTTAATGAAAAGAAGTGTGTGTGTGAGAGAGAGAGGAGAGAAAAACAGAGATTGAGGTAGAGATTTGTTTTTACCAGTTCTAAATGAAGATGGAGAAAAACTCATTGTGATGTGGGCTTTTTCTTTCTCCTAAGCTAAGCATCATCTTTGTGCCTTTGAAGCCTGTGTCATTTATCAGCGTGTCTGACTGTAGCTCTTCATGAAGACTTCTGCTTAGTATTCTGTTAGCATGGGGAACTGACATTATGTAGATCAGGTGGTGATTTTATACTCATTACACTGCAATCACCAGGTAATGGGTTCTGGAAAACTCATGGGTTACTATTATTTTATGCAAATCTAGCATCATAAAAGTGATGTCTCTTTTTATTTCAATCGCATCTTTGAAAGATAGAAACAACTGCTCTTTCACTTTATTTGCCTCAAGAATATGCTAAGATCTCATTTCTATTAGTGATATTGTGGTTTGTATATTGTGGTTTGTATTCTAATCCTTTGCATATCCAAGATGTTGGTCCCTTCACGCCAAGGGGAACACTCCATGGCCGCCACACTCATCACATTACCATTTACTTTCTGTATTAAACTAAAATTTCGACATTAGTCTAAAATTTGCATTTGTATTAATCATGTCAATTTATATGCTAATGATTTTTCACTGAAATCTTGGAAGATGTCTGGCAACTGAATGTCTGTTTATTAAAATCACTTGAGATCTGTCTCCCTGCTAAGACCTCCCTTGACCAATTACTCACTTTGATCATACATAATAACTGATATTAATTTAGAAACCAAGTTGGATTAAGCTTAAAAGAAAGAACTTTTGAGTTTGGTTCTGACAATATTAAAACTACAGTTACTAATGGTTTTATTAAGTGTCATAATTATGTCAAGTCTGCTCCCATCTCTCCTAATGCTGAATTTAGATGGTTCAAGGTAACTAGCTAGTTGTTAGCCATTTGGTTTTTTTTTTTGTTTTATTTTTAATTTTTTTGGTTTTTCGAGACAGGGTTTCTCTGTGGTTTTGGAGCCTGTCCTGGAACTAGCTCTTGTAGACCAGGCTGGTCTCAAACTCACAGAGATCCGCCTGCCTCTGCCTCCCAAGTGCTGGGATTAAAGGCATGCGCCACCACCGCCCGGCTTGTTGTTAGCCATTTGTAATGGAAACTGGCAATTGGTTTTAATTAGGGTATACAAACAGAACGAGCTCTTCTGCTTGTTTATACCTTCTGAAGGTTTAAAACACAAAAGAAAATTGTCCATTTCCTTTACATTTTCCACTTTTCTCAAATACATATTTTTGAAATATGACCAGATAGTTCTCTGGATTTCCTCAGTGTCTGATGTTATGTCCCCCTTTTCATTTCCGATTTTGTTAATATGGATTTTGTGTCTCTTTCTTTTGATTAGTTTGAATAAGGGTTTGTCTATCTTGCTGATTTTCTCAAAAACCCATTTCTTTGTCACATTACTCTTTGTTTCATTTACTTTGTTTCTATTTTATTGATTTTAGTCCTCAAATTGATAATTTCCTGTTATCTACTCCTCCTGGGTGAGACTCCCTTTTTTGTTCTAGAGCTTTCAGGTGTGCTGTTAAGATGCTAGGGTGAGATTTCTCCAGGTTCTTTATGGAGGCACTTAGTGCTATGAATTTTCCTGTTAGTACTGCTTTCAAAGTATCCCAAAGAATTGGGTATGTCATGCCTTCATTTTCATTAAATTCTAGGAAGGCTTCCTTTATTTTTCCTTGATCCAGGGATAATTCTGTTGAGAATTGTTCAGTTTCTATGAGTATGTAGAATTTTTGCAATTAGTGTTGTTGAATTCTAACTTTAACCCATAGGTTATCCAATAAGACACAGGGTTACTTCCACTTTTTTTTAATCTGTTGAGATTTGCTTTGTGATCAAATATGAGGTCGATTATAGAAAAAAAAACCCTGCAGAAACAGCTGACCCAAGGTTGTGGGAGCTCACTGGCTCCTGACTGACAACTAGGGAACTGGCACAGGACCAAACTAGGCCCTCTGAATGTGGGTGACAGTCATATGGTTTGGTCAGTTTTGTGGGTCCACTGGCAGTGGGTCCAGTATTTATTTACCCCTAGTGTGTGAACTGGCTTTTTGGAACCCATTCCCTATGGAGGGATAATTTGCTCAGCCTACATACAGGGAGGATAGCCTTATTCCTGCCTCAAGGGATATGACAGACTTTGTTGACTCCCCGTGGGAGACCTCATCCTCTATGAGGAGTGAATGGGGAGTGGGGGAGTGGGGAGTGGGGTGGTGGGCAGTTGGGAGAGCAGGCAGAGGGAGGGAGAGGGAATTGGGATTGGTATGTAAAATAAAAAAAAAGATCTCTTAAAGAATAAAAGAAAAAGTAAAATAAATAAATAAAAAACAAAGAAGGCTATTACTTTTATAGTTGCTGTGACAAAATATCTGACAGAGATTATTTAAGCAAGGGAGAAAGGCTCATGGCTACAGGGAACTACTGTTTGCCTTCCCTGCTCTAACTGATTGACTTTCCCTGCAGCAGTTGAAGTAGGTAAAGCCAACAGGGAAGCTTTGTCTGTGGCAATGGTCTATTGCTTCTCACATGCTGGTAGACAGGGAAGGAGACAACTCAGAACTGATTCCAGGAGTAGTGATAACCATTAAGACCCACCACAGACAACCTTCTGCTAACCAGACCAAATCCCATCCAAATCCCATCCCAAAGGTTAACCAATCTCCTAAATTGTAACAAAGTATTCAAACACATGATATCCCTTCTCTGTCACTCTTTTTCTCTTGTTTGGTGGTGGTGGTAGTGCGGGTGGTGCTGGAGGTGTGTGTGAGTGCTACAAAATTTCAGTCCAAGTGTAAATCAGAGAGCCAGTGTGATGGCTAAATGGATGAAGGCACTTGCCAGCATGACTGACAACTTGAATTTGATACCTGAGCCTGAAATGAGAAAACTTACTCCTATATACATTATCCTTTGACCTCCACACTTCTGCTTGGTGCACATGTTCCTTGCCTCCCCCCATCCTTCAAATAAATAGAGACCAGGGTGTCCTTGAACTGACAGAGAACAGTCAGCCTCTGCTTCATGATTACAGGGATTAAAGGTGTGCACCAACATGCCCAGCCTCCTATTGCTCTTTGTGCTGCCTCTGTGTTCTCTGGATTTCAATGTGTCAAAGTGGCCTAAGGCTAGCAGTTTGGTAAACATCCTGAGACTGACTACTCATTTCCACTGATGATATACTCTATTTGTGTACCAAACAGATTCATTCTGGGGACTGGAAAGATGGCTCAGTAGTTTATGACACTTGTTCCTCTTGCAGAGACCTGGACTAGATTTGAGCACCCACACATATGCTGACAACCACCTGGAACACCAATTCCAGGAGTTCGAATGCTGTCTTGGGTGTCTGTGAGCAGCACACACACAAGGTGAATGGAGAGAATGCATGCAAAATATTTATACACATAAAATAAATCAGTTTAAAACATTGTATGTATGTTATGTGCACTCATGTTGACTGTAACGACTCCAGGAGTCTTTATTTTTTATTCTCTGTATTTCATGAGTCCTCCACAACTGTGATAAAAAGTTACTCACTTTCTGATTTTTGTTTCCATAGTCTAATTTGCTATCACTTACACCTTAGAACAGGGATTCTCAACCTGTGAACCCATTTGGGGATCATAGGATCTTTTTACAGAGATCATCTAAGGCCATGTGGAAACACAGATATCAGCATTATGATTCATCACATTAGCAAAATTACAGTTATGAAGGAGCAGCAAAAATCATTTTACTGTTAGGATCACCACATGAGAAATTGTGTTGAATGTTCACAGCATAAGGAATATTGAGAACTACTGTCTTAGAAGGGGACAGACTAGCATGGGTATTCATAGGAATGAGAGTATTATGGAGGTGAAAGATATGTTCAAGGCTTTGTCTTCTCTGACATGATTTGCAACTATACAGACTTAGAAACACAAAGTCAACATTCTCCTCACAGGCAAATATGTTACTTTTTAAATTAATAGGAATTACCATCAAGCATGATTTCTTTTTAGAGAACTCAGGCAGTGCCTCTCCGAGAGTACTTAGGCCTATCATTGATTTTGATTTGCTAAGACCTGCTTGGTCCTGCTTCTTCGTTGCAGCAATCTTCTTGGAATACAAAATTTGTTTCTCTATGATCTGCAATGAAAAGACAGAGGATCAATTTTCCTAGTTTGCTTAGGAAATGAACTCTTGATTTGGGGTGCACAATATCAAAACTACTTTATTCCTTACTAGCTAGATTGTGAAAATCATGAATTTGAAATTTGGCCTTTCCCTGTGATTGAGACTAAACTTAACTCACTATATTTTAAACTTTCTGAATCTTATTTGAGATGATTATTACTTTTAATAACCCCCCTTCATCAGTGTTTCTCTTCTATGTTTGGGATGCAAAATGTATATTATTTTCAACTTATAAATATACTCTCACTTACTAGTGTCCTCCATATCATAGTATCTGTGAAACTGCTTTATAGAAACCCATTTTTCTGCTGAGTCCCATTCAAAAGTCATTAATATTCAACTTCTGATTCACACAACACTTACTCTAAGGTTCCAGGTTACAAACAGGATTCCTAACCTCTAGCAGCTCACAGTGATGAGGTCACATTACTATGAACACATAAATGCTAAGTATAACCCTAAGATATTTTAAATAGGTGAACATGATACAAAGAATCACAGACTATATTATTGTCAAATACAGAGCAAATATCCAGAAACCAAAGTGTTACTATATGGTATTGAATCTTCACATCTACAATTGCTGGCTAATTGGGGAAAAATACTTACCGTGTACCTGGAGGAAGAGTTGTCAATATCCTCCTAGTGGAATCAAACAGAAAACAGACTGTAATCTCTTCATAATGAAAACTTGGTTGAACAGATTACAAATAGCTAAATTTCCAAAATTTCTTGCTAATGTAAACACAGAAGTAAAGAGACAAACATAGGAGATGCTTGCTTTTATCTGTGATCCTGAAATAGGAATATCCAAGGGAAGAGATAACCTATCTGCAATTATGCTGAGAGAAAAGGCACCTGGGTGATGCCTGAACCACTACAATAACCGGACCCTCTAAAATGTATTCAGATGTATCTCCACAGTTGTTTTTAAAATAAGTCTAATGTGTATCTATTTCTGCAAACAATCCTTGATCAAGCACCAGGCATCTTCTAATATATGAGAACTGCACTCAATCTTCGCCTCCCTGTGTTTCCAGTTCATTCTCCTATTGGGCCACCGCTATCTGCAAGGACTTACTGCTCACTGGAATTTATAGAAAGGATGGTTCACTGATACCAAACACTTTTCTCTGACCAAATTTCCATATAAAACTGTGATAGGTAGAGTATTGCTGCATTTTAACAAAATTCATAAGGAAACAAATTTCACAAAGGGGAATTTTACCTTAATAGCAGAGGTGGTGGCCGTGTCCTCTGTTGTAACATGAGGGTTTTCAGAGAGCCTTTAGAATAAAAACATGCAGTGAGGGGTGAGTTTGGTCCTTAGAGCATCTCTCTTGAAAGATTTGTTATCTGTGCACTAAGTGACATTTTTTGCATTTATGTAATTCAACGTTGACCCCCATTTTAAAAAGTTTTTACTTTGGCAGTTTCAACATGTCTCAATCTATGTAACATTCAGTGAAGACTCACTCATAGTTTTATTTAAAAATGAAAATTTAAAAAGCCAGTGGTTTGGGAGATGGCTCAGTCAATAAGAATGTTTGCTGCCAACACAGATCAACCTGAGTTTGAATCCTCAGCATCCACATAAAAAACTGGGCATGGACACATGCACATGTACCCCAGTACTGTGGGTGGAACAGGCTACCAATTGGGCTTGTTGGCTGCCAGACCAGCTCCAGGGTCAGTCAGAGATCTTATGTCAATTGGATAAGTTAGAGAATGATGCAAGACACCAATATCCTCCTCTTTCCCTCATGTCTGCACAAAAAAAATATGCAAAGCATGCAACAGGCACAGACACATGCACACATGCAACCCACACGCACACACACACACACACACACACACACACACACACACACACACACCAAATCACATAAGAGGGGGAAATGGTGAGTTTTGCACACACTTGTTATGATGGTTGCAGTAACTGATTGTTTTGAGCACATGATGCTCCTATTTCATTTGTTCCCCTAAACCTAAAGTACCATGGCCTGTTTTTTGTAAAAAAAAAATTAGGCATTTCATTTCATAGGACTCTCTTCAAAGAGTTGCTCTGGGAAAACATGAAATGGACTCCATGTCTAATCATTAAGTTGCCATCAATCTCAGAAGTCATCATATTTTGGGGCCTTGAAGATTTGATAGTGTGTCCACATGCATATGTTGAAACTCTTTATACTCAAGGGTATTTCTGAGTCATTTTATAGGACACTAGGGAGCAACACTGTCCCCTCAGCTTTGATTCATCGGATCTATAGCTAAAAGTTCCTAATTTCAGGGTTTCTGATTAACAAACTCTGGAACAAACACTTTCTTTTTCTAACTTCCACCTACCTAGGGATTCACCACAGAGGTGGAACTCATTAAGAGGGAAATAAACCTGCTGAACAGAAGCATGTCTATAAGGCCATTCTGAGGTGATTTTCTCAGCAAAGTCTGGGAGAGTTTTGCCCACACTCTTCCCAGCAGACACCTTGTCCCAAACATACTAGTAAACAGGATTAACAGCCTGAAAACTAATGTTTTTACATATATGTAACTGCATGTTATGTGCAGTGTATTTGTAAGTATGTATGATTGCAGTTAAATATGTGCCAGTGTATAGGTGTGGTGATTGGAGTACAGACTTGGGTGTCGACCCTCACCCTCAGCCTTAGTTATATGGCTGAATCTCATTCATGAATGCAAGCCCCAGGCTAGCAATCCAGGCAAGATATCCAGAAAATGTGAGAGTATGCTCTGTCTCCACCTGCAATCTTACCAAAGCTCACCAGGATATTAGAAGCGCACAAGACCAACAGGCCTCATGTGGACCCTGGGCATTGATCTCCCATTCTCCCATATGCACAGCCAGCATTTTATCTGCTGAATCACCACCACAGACAGGGAGTCCTAACAGCATTGCACGCTGTATCTGAGGCATAATTCAGCTTTCATTAGCGAATAATCAAGAAGCTAAAATTGTCTTACACAGAGGAAAACTTGGTGCCAGCTTCTGAACTTTATATTCTCTACATACTGTATTTAAAATCCAGACATTCTTACCTGAGTGGGATTTGGTCTTGATTTCTTCCATTATCTACAGAGTAGAAAGGCAAAATATGTTATAAGCATCTGTAGAAATAAGAGCATTGAATGCCAAGGCCAATGCTTCGTTACTACATATACTTTGAATCTGTGTAGCCTTCAAGGTGAATACTGATTTATAGATAATAAAAACAAGGATAACTCTTAATTTACACTTCTTTGTTTGTTTAAAATACAGAGACAATTTTATCAAAGGTCGATACTAATAATAAATTGGTATACAAAATACCTATGATCATGAGCATTATCAAACAGAGAAACTGACATCTTAACCAGAGTCAATATCACAAGCTGAAATGTTAATTGGTAGCACAGTGTTGCTGCTGCTGGATTTGTCTCTGGACTAGTGGTGTTAGGAGAATTGCAAGTGAGCGTACTCATCTTGCATGGAAGTGAAAAGAGCCTCTCTAAAGATTAAGCTGAACTTATTTCGTTGAAGATGAAAATTCCAGACACAGGGAAGCTAAGTCTATGAGGACCGCTCTTTGCAGCATAGAAAAAGTTAAGAAACACAGGTAGACCAAGGGCAAAGAATTCCCAGATGCCAGGGTGGCGAAGCTACATACAGAGAGAGAGAGAGAGAGAGAGAGAGAGAGAGAGAGAGAGAGAGAGAGAGAGAGAGGGCATTGTGTGTACTCTCCCCAAGTGCTTCTGAGGAAGCTGCAGAAGCCCCTCAGTTCTAGCTTCTGGTCCCTTGCTAACGGGCAGTGCAAAGAAGCTCAGCACTAGCTGCTATCACCTCCCATGGTAAGAGCTATGGGAAAGCCCCCTGCAGTAGTTATGCACCCTGAACTGTATCTCCAGGGTGAGAAGCAAGGAAGAAACTTGGGGAAAAAGCAGCAATTCCATGGGAGTAGTACCTCACAGGAAACGTTTGTGTCCACACATACACAGTTTCAAGTGAGCAGCTTTCACTGCATGCTAACAGCCTGCCCTCTACAAAGGAATAAAGCAAATTTTTGCTTATTTCACTCACAGTATGGAAACTCCAGTATAACCTCCTTGACATTGCCTATTGCTGAGGCAGAGCATTTGTCCCACCAACAAATGGACTGCCAATGAGGCTCAGCATGTGAGAGACCTCCATCAACCATCGTCACCACAAAGGAAATTTAGTGTGGAAATAATGTAAAGGACAGTCACCCACATTACAATAATGCTGACTCTTTTCAATAAAGTCTTTCAGACCCTCTACACTCCACGTACTCCTATTCACTTGATGCTGTGCTCTCTATAGGCAAGGCAGGTGTGAAAGACACTGTGGTGACAGCGGAGAGCCCAAACTCTGTAGTGTTCCTCCCACTCTTAGAATCTTATCCAGACTCAGTGGACCAGTCAGTGCTGTCCCCTGCAGAATGATGCTATTTTCTCAGCCTTCCTCCTACTGTGGTATATTGTTCTGGAAATTATGTCTATCGGCATATAAACCAAGTATCACCATATCCTACACTAATAAAACCAAAGGAAAAGGTACTGGCGGTATAGCCATTAGGGCGAGCGCTAGTCTAGAATGCTTAGAATGGCAATGTTCAATCTGCAGCACTGCCTACAGGATTCAAAGTCCATTTTTTAAAAAAGTTGACCAAGCCTATTATTTCTTATGCCAAGAAATAGTCAGATTAAATAGCAAATAATTAAAGATAAACATAAAACCATATGTGAATTTTCTAATATGTCTAAGTAAAGAAATTATAGAAAGGAACAAAACCCATAAAAATGTAGTTAATTTAGTTCTCAAAATCCTTAATGAAAGTAAGTGAATACTGTATTTCTGTTTTTTACATGATCACCTTTCATTGACACTAATATATATGTAGCATAAATGTAATATATTTATCAGAAAAATGAAAGAAAAATTCATTTTATAACAAGCAAAATTGCTGTCACATAATTCTATAGGACACATACTGTGGACTAGTTAGAGGTCCTTTTATTTATACAAAGATACTGTGTGCATCAGAGGCTCATGTTAAATAAATAAACATGATTCAGATAATATAGTTTGATATTGAAATTTCTCAGAAAATCATTTCTGAAATAATTTTGAATGTGAAGAACATTAGGAAGCAAATTTTAAAAAATGAAATTACGTTTATATCTTATTTACTTTGTTCCTTTTTTGAATGAATTAAGTTGCTATTGAAACTAGGGAAGTAGCAGCAAAGTATTCATGATTACTCTTACCTCCACTGATCTGAAGAGACTTCTTAAGTATTGGTTTCAGCTCTCCAGGTGGTCGTATGCTGCTGTTGCATATTTTAAAATGTAATATTTTAATATTCATACAAGAACATTTACCAAATGCTTTGATTATTTGCTGTCTGATTTCCTAACATACATTAGAGATTTACAGTCAAGCATTAACTTGTCCTTCAATCAGTTGATTAGGTTTGGTGACACTTTTTTAAAACTTTTCCCATGTGAAAGAAAGGAAAGATTTAGTCCACAGAAATTAGTCCACCAAAAGCATAAGCATAGAAACACACGAGGGAGACAAAGAGAGAAAGAAAGAAAGAGACAGAGAGAGAGAGAGAGAGAGAGAGAGAACACCAAAGACAGTAGTTTCTTTCCAGTACATTTTTTAAAATTGTAGTAACTGATGGTCACTCTTGTGCTCAATGTAATTAGTACCCCGATTCTACTTGTCATGTCATCATCTGCTTCTAGAGCATCACAGAACCCCTCTCTCTCAGGTTACTTTGGGAGCTCTCAATGCTTGTGATGCTATCTCTCACAAGGTTTGTTTGTGGACCATAGAATAGATTCCTGCTTCTGCTAGCACTCTGACAAGATACCATGGCCTAGGCTATGCTCAAGCTGTCCCTTAGTAGTCCATTCAAGAGTGAATCTTGAAACCACAATCTGCCTGTTCCTATGCCAAATGAGCATTGCTATTAACTTAATGAAATAAAAATATGAACAAACAACAATAAAACTCTGGATAATTTCAGGTTATTAGCATGAGACAGTTTAGAATTCCTAGTAGAAGAGAACATGGTTTTTACAAGGTGTGTCTTTGAACAGTTGTAGCTACTTTAATTTATGAATCTGCACTTTGGACCTTTTAACTTGGAGTAATTTATTAATAAATAATTAGTAATAAGCAATTTACTAATGTGTATTGAATGCTTTATGATACATGTTCTCACAAATGATAACACAATTGTCCTCTATTATGGAAGTAATCAATTAAGATGAGCACAGAACTAGCTTGACATACCACCTTTAATTTTCTGCCAAATCAGTGTCTGAGATAGCAGATCACTGACAGAAGGGGCCTTTTACTCTATGTTCATGTCCTACTGATGGGGAAGACAAAGCCCCTTTTATAGACACATAAAGAGTAAATATGCCACAGTTTGGCTCTCTACATCCAGATAATCTACTGAGATCCAGAGACTTCATTACTGTAGAAAACAGCTCAAAGGAATGGAAAAGTGATGGATTGAGCACTGTGGTAGGAGGAAGGCATGGGATCTTTCACCATCTATAAAAGGGTCCTACGCAGAACAAAAGGGCCTCTGCATGTGGAGATGGTGTCAAAGGAACAGAGTAATTTGTTGGCTTCTTGTAATACTGTGTGATAATGCAGAGAGATCCCAAATCCTGTCAGCTCTCAGAATGACAAATGCGATGAAGATCTAGTTCACTAGCTGATTTCAGAAAAAATTTGAAAAGGCACTAAGTGTCAGATGGACATAGTGAGTGTGGTTTTTATCAGTAGGCTCATTTTCCAAAACGCAGAATTGGTACTTGGGACATGATGGTTGAATATACAACTCATGTCCATGATCTAAAAACAACAATATTTCTGGCTAAAATACATTGATAATACTATGGGGATTGTAAGACAACACAAAAATTGAGTGTATAAATCAGTATCTATCTATTTGAGAATACAACCAATAATTGGCTTGTTATCTTGGAATTTCCTTAGTATTATTGTATTCTTAGACCTTACCTGCAAAAAGGCTTCCTATTGGTATTGTAATGTACTTCTAAAAAAATCAAAATGAATTTGTTACAATGCTAGAGAAATATAACATATAAAATGATTAGATATATAGTATCCATTTTTGAGACTAATCTAGACTGGGCTTCCTTCTGACATAGGATCATTGTACAAGTTCACATGTGTAAATACTCTTTTTTAGGAAATTTGTTCATGTAGAATTAATCCATTTTGTTTATTTCAAATCAAACAAGACTTAAATTTATCAAGCACAATACCTAAAAATAAACAATCACCCTGTGATTCCCAAGACAGCCAGAACTATATAATAATAAAACTGTGTCTCACAAACAAAACAACAGATTCAAAATGGAAAACAAGGTCCATGGGCCTATACATATTTTTGTTCTTCAAGGAAACGAAGAACCTTGTTGAGCCTTTTAGTTAAAATTGTTCATTTTATCAGGCAAATTCCTACCACTGGGACTATATGTATTGTTTCTGTCTTTTGTATCAGGATAAAACCTGGCAGAAAGAAAGAGAAGAGGGACAGGGACCTTTACATAACAGCTCAAGGGAGGGCAGGCATCAAGCTTCCTCTCCTCATCCGCTTTGGGGAATGAATATCCTTAGTTCCATTTGTGTTCCCCGACTTTTATGCAGCTTAAAGGATGCTCATGATAGCAGGCATCATCTCCCCTGAAATGAATTACTGGAAAGATCTCTCCCTTGGGAGTAATAACCCCAAGCTCGACCTCAAGTGCAAGAGCATCAGAGAAGCAGCTGTGAGACTGGAGCAGCAAATTCCATGGGCTTCCTTCTGACATAGGATCATTGTACAAGTTCACATGTGTAAACAATAAACTCACTCAATCCTTCACTGTTCACTTGCAGTTTGCTTTTAGAAATGAAACATTGGAGGCTGGCAGTGGTGGCTCACACCTTTAGTCCCAGTGCTTGGAAACAGAGGCAGGAGGCTCTATGGGAGTTCAAGGAAAGCTTGTGTAGAGAATATATTAAAGGGCAGGCTCCAAATATACATACAGAAAAACCCTGTCTCAAAAAAACCCTAAAATAAACATAAACAAACCAAAAAAAGAAATGAAATCATTCATTTTGTCTTGTTTAAAGTCAAGGAAACTTAGTGTGCCTTTTCAGCATTCCCCCATGTCTCGGGACAGCCATTTGAGCCACCAACTAGTGGACTGGGATTGCGGCTCAGTAGGAAAGCCTATGCTTATTATGCAGGAGGCCTCAGTCAGTTCTCACCACCACAAATGCCATGAACAGCAAACTTCATAATAAAGTGACACAAAGCTGTCTCCATTACAATAATATTGACTCTCTACATCTTACCTCTTGAGAGAAGAGGGTTTTGAATTCTCTACTTAGTGTGGTTGTCACTGACAGACACTGTGATGACAGCTGATGAAAGTAAATACTACGTGGTGCTCCTGCCACTGCCACAAAGTCTCTCCAGACTCAATGGAGAAGCAGATAATTATTCGAAATACAGAATGATGTCATTCTCTTCACTTTGCTTTTTGTTTCAATTTTTTTAAGATTTATTTTATCTACAGTGTTTTGTCTGCATATATTCCTGCAGGCCAGAAGAGGGCACCAGATCTCATTACAGATGATTGTGAGCCACCATGTGGTTGCTGGGAATTGAACTCAGGACCTCTGGAAGAGCTGCCAGTGCTCTTCACCTCTGAGCCATCTCTCCAGCTCCTTGTTTCAGTTTTTATTCTTGAATCATGCTTTGCAGCATGGAAATGATATACACCCTTACCATGTTCTATTTAACAAAAACAGAAGGCAGAGATAATGGGTAGGGTGCTTGCCTACAATGCTCCCAAAGCCTTATGCTCAACCTCTAGCACTTCACAGAAAAGAAAGAAAGAAAGAAAGAAAGAAAGAAAGAAAGAAGGGAGGGAGGAATTGATTTAGGGATGGGTGGAAGGAACAAGGGGAGGCAGGGACCAAGAAAAAGAAAGAAGGAAAAGAAAGAAAAGGAAAACATATATGGATTGTTAAGTCTTCCTAAAATCAATGCATTCACTGTAAAAGAAACACTTCCACCCTAAGGTAGGAGATTTCTAAAGAAAACAATTATACAGTATGCCAAAACTTTCCAAACTGAGAACTTTCACAGACATTTAAGAACTCAGATGATTTAATAACATCGTAAGGTAGGAAATTAGTTAATGAAAATAATTGATTAAGGTTTTTTGTGACTTAATTTTATTTTAGTGGCAGTGAGATATGTTAGCGATATGCAGCACAAAATACAAGGCATTTGTCATAAACTCAAGGAGAATCTGTATTTCTCACAATCCTATTTGCTGCATTGTGACTATGGAGGACATGTGCTGTGTAAAAATGTTTTCTCATTTATTCAAAGGCTGTACAGATATCAGCATTAAAGTAAAATAAGCAATGTTTTGACAAAAATACTTCACACTTGAAAGTGCTTGATGTATACTTGTTTTCCTTAACTCCTTTTTGGGATCTAAAATCTTTACTCTTCCTTATTCGTTCTTCTTCGGGGAAGGTAGGACAGATGGAGTAATTCTTACCTTTGTTGAAGGTGACACACTTTTTCTTTCTCTGCTCTGGCTCTCTTGTCATTGTTCCTTCACTGTGACATATGTTGAAAGTGATCATCATTTAATTATCCATATAAAAACACTTAGCATGTTTATAAATTCTTTATTTTTGAGTCCCTAATACATCTTATATTACATATTACATAAATTCTTTATTTTTGAGTCCCTAATACATCTTACACTACATATGTACAAAAACATTTTTTGAAACAGGATCTCATTATGCATTCCAGCTAACTTTTAATACACTATATGTTTCATGTTTGTCTTGAAATCAAAGAGATCTATGCCTCCTGCCTCCCACATTCTGGGATTAAAGGCATGGGCAAAGAGGCCGAGCCAAATAATTTTGAATTCATTCTTCAACAGTTGGTGATGATTAATGACTGCTCTCCTTTCCACCTTTTCTCATGGAGAAGAACACAGACAATTTATCTCTTGATTAAAACACACACACACACACACACACACACACACACACACACACAAGCATACAAGACAGGGGAGTGGCGGTTTTACCACACACTTTGTTCTGATGGTTGCAGTAACTGACTGTTTTGTGCTCTAAGTACTTAATTCTCCTATTTCATTTCTTCCCCTAAACTTACAGCACCTTGTCCTGTTTTCTGTCAAGAAACTTTTTAGGTATTACATTTAGTCACTCACTCTCT